CGCGCAGGCCGCACTCACCCGGGCGCTGCGCGGCAGGCGGTAGCGGCAGAGCGTGTGGTCCAGGTCGAAGCCCAGCACGTCGCAGTCGGCCAGGCAGAAGTGCCCGGGCATCGCGGCCGGCAGCGGCAGCAGGAGGAGGAGGAAGGGGCGATGGAGCCGCTTCCTGCGGCGCGGCCGGAGCCTGCGGCCCGCGCTGTCCCCGCCCCGGCGCGGAGCGGAGCGGAGCGGCCGCCCTCACCTGCCGCGGGGGCGGCGAGACCCCCCCGTACGCCGGGAATCCCGCGGCTTCCCCCCGTTATCGGGGATCCGCAGGGATCCGCGCTGGGCGGCAGGGAGGGGGGATTGGGGCTGCCCCGTCACCTAAGGGCCCTACGAGACCGTCTCCCTCTGCAGCAGAGAGATGCTCCGCACAGCGGGGGGATCCCTCCCTGCAGGACATGTGCAAGGCTGTGCACTAAACACTCCTTAAAACAAAACAAAACAAAACAAAACCAACAAAAAAGGCAAATTACCTTTCCTGTCAGCTTTGTTGGTAAGGAGGAATAACCTAAGGAGCAGTATTGACTAGCATGAAACACATAAAGCCAATTGTGGTGTCACTGCTTGGGGTCTTTCTGACCTCMCGATAATTTTTTTTAATTAATAATACAAGGGTAATTGTAGGTGTTACAAGGATAATACAAGGATAATTACAAGGGTGTTTTGGTGAACATCTTCCCAGCAAGTGTTGCTGGAACACAGTTATGGAAGCGCTAGTGAAGGTAACATGTTTGGGGGCAAAAGGGAAAGAGAAGAGAGTTACATGGACTTAATTCTACCTTTCTGTACCATTGAGATTGGAAGTGGTAGCTAAGTGAGGCCTAACTCAGGATTCTTAAATAGCTGGTCCTGATGGCTCTGGTCAAAAGTCCTCCTCATTCCTCTTTCTGATCCTTTTTCTCTCCTTGGAACAATGATGTCAGTCCAACTTTATTTTGAGTCACAAAAGTGGAAAAAAAAAACTAGTGCAATGAATATAAATCTCTTTCTTCCCCTCCTCCCCTTTTAATTTTCTATGACTATAAATAGAAGAATACAAAAAGGAAAAAAAAAAAAGTATTTGCAGTAACTGTTATGACATGTTTAATTCAAGTCAAGACTTCCAGAGTTACTGTCGAGGGTAGAGCTGTTAAGCCTTGTGCTTTGCAGGTTGGTAAGCTGAGGTACATAACCATAGCAGCAGCACACAGAGATTTGAAAATAAAAGACCCAAATTTTGTTTTGATTATCATTTTTTCAGGATGATGCAATGATAATTGTAATTTTGTGTTCTAGAATGAAAGACTTTAGAAATATACTCAAATAGTTGAATGTTATACAATATATGCATGTATCAAAATGCAATTTGATGCAGTCAGGGAGACAAAGAAGTGAGAAATTTAAGTAACATGACCTGCCACATAAGYGTAAATTTTAAACAGAGAAGTTCAGCCTCAGATTAGAAAGTGAATTTGACAGGAAAATACACGGAAATTAGAAATAGAAGTCAGTAATGCTAGCAGTGGGATAAGATAAGCACTTAAGGTGTCAGAGCAGGAAAGAAATGGGTTGCATACTTCTACTCTAACTGTTGCATAACAGCTTTTAGCAAAGGATCTCAGTATCTTCCACAGACACTTATACACTTTCTAGCATTACATRAATGTTCCCCAAATTAACAGGTGTGAAAATGAAGAAGAGAGATTCAACCAGGATCACAGACACAGCAGTGATCACAAATGACAAGGCAGGAGGYTGGAAAATCTTAAGCATAAGATAGTCTCTCTCCGTAAAGCTCCTCGCTTTAGGAAACACAGAGCAGATTCCTGCCCCACTGATATCAGTGGATAGAATTTGTGTTGTTCAGTAGGTCCAGGGATTCTGCCACAATTCTTATTTCCCACTATTCTCATACTAACTTAAGGTTTGTTAGTCTTGTTAGTCCCCATTGATTCAATGGGGAAACTCTCTTACTCCAGAATGTTWTTTTGGTTTGCCCCAGAGACCTCATGCTGCTTCTAAAGTTATACTTAGGTATAGTTAGGCATTTTAAATTTAACACTTTAGCTTGCTATACTTTTTTAGAAGTATCTTATATGAAAGCACACCATGAAACAGACTTTACATACAGCACTAATGGGGCTCTTGGGTAGATATCAAAAATCAATAGCCACATTGTTTTTATTGCCAATTAAGTATAATCATTGAGCATCCATAGAAATTGCAAGCACTGCACAATTGTAGCAACAGTAATGACAAGCTATCATAAGAGTATGTAACACAAAAGTACTAATCCTATTTAATCCTAAGTAACTTTGTTTTACAATATTCACCAATGGAAAAAATCAGAGAGCTAAATTTCAAACCAGACATTAAATTAGAACAGTAAGAAAAAAATATGGAAAATCTTGATGAAGAGAATGTGTTTTCAGCCCAGGGAGAAGAGAATATAAACCAGAGAATATCACCTTCGTCTTCAGTGTTCACAGTGCCAACCTGCTAACAGGAAATTATCAGCACAGTTTAGTCTTAACTGACAATCCACAAAGTTTTGTCTGGTCTTAAAAACTTTACCTTGTCTCACAGTGTCTTCCTTTTAGATGAGTCCTTTAAACACATTGATATCTCACTCTAGAATCATTTTCAGAAAGCTGCTGCCGTTAACTGAAATCCTTCACTAACTTAATGTATGAACAGCACCCTTTCAAATGCTTTTTTAGTTTAGCAATTGAATTTGGATCATRCAATGAGCTTCTCAGTCTACATATTTGATTTTCAGGAGGCACAGTTGTGTGGTATGGCTTGTTTCCACAGGGGCATCAACTCCTCACTTCTGCATTTTTTGTTTGTTTGAATARTATCACATTTCCAAGGTACAGTATATGCTTTATAGGCTCCCAGACCTTTGGCATCTCAGAATTTCCCTATGCGATTTGGAGGGTTGCATTCCCTGTCACGTTGCGCAATGGTGTGTACCCAGCCACTTCAGGGCTGCAATTTCAAAAATCTATATTTCTCCCTGGGTACTTAGGCAGCTATTTTTCATTATTCTTTTGCTGGAGGACTGCCCTGCAGCCGGAGCTGAGCTGCAGGGAGCCTGGCCCAGGTGAGGGCAGGGGCTGCCTGCAAGGGTAGGAGCGCCAGGGGTGACCACTGCAGAGGCCCATCACATTTAGCAACCCTCAAGAAATGCATGGGGAGTTTGAGATCTTCTGCTTGAAAAAATGCAGAGTGGTATTCGTATTTTCTTTCTCTTTGCATCTCATCCCTACTTTCAGCAAAGAAGCAGTGCCTACTGCTTTGAAGTTGTAGAGTGCACAGAGTATACTAGTGCATTACAAAGCACAAGAAAGAAACATAACAGATCCTAGTAACCCATTTAAAGCATAAAACCATGTCAAAATGCCTAAAATAAATTTTGACAGTCACTCAGAAGGCTTGGGCCTGTAAACAAGACAGATACTCCAGCACTTTGTGTACTTCATCCTTAGAGGGCAGCATTACAAAATAATGCAGCAWCCCTGTAAGTTTAAATGACTGTCGCATTAATCTGTTTTATTCTTCTCAAACTTCAGTTTTCTTTTCCTAGAGCTGTGTAAGTCGATTTTTTGAGTTGTTTTCTAACTATGCTTTGCTAGTTCAGACAGAGCTTATCAGATTTTAATAGAAAACAAAACCCTCATATTGCTATTGAGAAGTATGCAATAGTGATATGTGAAAGCATAAAAAATTGAAGAAATGCAAAATATTTTTACTGAAGAGAAGTAACCTTGTTACGTGCAGTTAATTTCAGAACACTCTAGCCTTATGGCTGTTGTTTAAAATAAATGAAAATACTTTGTAGCAGAATAAGTCAAACCAACAAGGTTTCAGTTTAATCTATTTTTTATTTCAGCTCCCTGGTAAAACTCAGAGTATCAGTTCTGCACTTGATTTAGCTTTTAATCCACAAAGCTGTTCAATACRCAGGTAGGTAGAAGAAGGCCTTGGTCCAGTGCCCCCGTTCTGCATTAACTGCGGCACCAGCGCTCCAGCATCCCTGTCAGCACTGAACCATGCCTGACTCTCCCTGCTGGACCAGCTCCCTGCTCTGAACAGCACAAATCCTCATCGAAGGGCTACGAATTCAGTCTTAGACTGGCTGGTGGTCCAACTGGTTCAGTTACTGGTTCAGCAACTGGTCCAACATTCTCCTCTTATCCTCTCCCATTTCTCCAGGTGTATATGGGTAGTCCACAGGTCAACACTGCTGTTGCTCTGTCTTCAGTCCAACCTCAGTTTCACCCAACGTCTTAGTTCCTTTCCTGYCTCCCTGTCAGTTTCTGAAAAGCCACATACTCAGCCTCCTTCCTACAGGCAGTTCCTGAAGATGTGCCACCACCCTTCTGCTTATCTCTTACATGTGGTAATCAGGTTCAAATAGGCTGCAGCCGCTCTGTCATAAGGATGTTGTACTTAATAAATTACTTATTCAGCTTAAAGGGCTGAGGGAACCTAAAGCTACCATTAAAGTACTAAAGGAGTCATGTGAACTGTAATTAAAAACAGTGGTAGTTGCACAGATACAACATGTTTCTGGAGTCCTGCCTGAATTACATTTTCAGTGGGTTTCCTCGTGTGCTTCAAGTCAAACAAGATTGCAGGATTTGGTTCTATATTTGCAAGATTAGGACACACAAAAGGAAATTCAATACCCTTGTAGGAATAATCTGAGAATGTATAGAAATAGGCCCATGTTTTTTATTACAAACGGTGTAGTACAGAGTGATACCTTAGAAGAATTACATCTAACAACACTAATTCATTTCAAGGATGTCCTGGTTCTGCACTTGCGTGAATGAGGGCTGTCAGTAAGACATTTTCTTTGAAAAATGGTCATGAATGCTTACTCTTTCTTATATAATCTTCTAAGTGTTTAACCAAATACTACATACACTTTGCAGTGCATGGGATGCCTTGCTTATATTGCACAAAATAGAGAAGCCAAGGAAATATTGACTATCAGTCAGGATTTCAGTTTTTATTGGATTGCTCGGTAACCTTTCTAAAGAGTACAAAACATAGACACATTAACTTTTTCTGTTGAGCCACACACATGCAGTTTGTACTATC